CCTTGGGAGGGGACAAATCTACAACAATGAATGAATGGAAATCCAAAGCCTCTGTAAATTTTCACTGAAATTAATAACAAATTTAAATTAAAAAAATGAATTTGTTTTTCATTCAGCTTAAGAAATGACAACAATGAATGAATATTTAAGAGAAAAAAATTAACTGGGGGTGGGGGAAGGGAGGGTTAAGGGGTAAAATGTGCAACAATGAATGAATGAAATCTATGAATGAAACTTTTCTGGAAACTTCATTAAAATCACAATTAAAAAATATTTTTAAAAGAAATGCCAAATAAGTTCATTCCTTTTTATTTTCTGACTCCATTTCTTTGCACATTTAATTATAATACTTTGCTTTGTCTTCCTGAGCTGCTTTTGAAATTTCTGTTCATCTTCTTAACTTCCTGATTTCTTTCCTTTGCATTGTCTTCTCAGTTGTCCATTGGAAATCAATGGGTGGACTCAAATAAGTCAACAATCATGAGAGTTGCAGAGAAGCAGACGGTGTTTCATTCTGTTGTACATGTGGTTACACTTGATAATGGCAATTGCTTTTTCTTTCTTAGCATGCTGCTCTTTGGGGTTCAAGCCTCATATTTTTCCTTTGTGAACTCTAAACACTGGTTTCTGTCCCTCTACATCTGGCAAAAACTCTGCTCAGTTTTTTGCTTTTTCTGCATTTAGTATTCAATGTTGTTGTTGTTGATTGCCATCAAATCGAGCACAATTCATAGTGGCCCTAAGAATAAAAGGCCTGAAAACTTTCTTTTTTGTAATTTTTTTATGTTAATGAAAGTTTACAAAGACTTCAGATTTCCATTCACTCATAGCTTCACACTTTCCTCCCCGCTCAGATCAGTTTGAAGAGGGTAAGAGGAAATCATTGGAGGATTGAGAACAAAAGAATGAAATCAGCAGGTAAAACTGCTAAATGGTCACTGGGAAATAGATTGTGAGGGTGTCTACTATGTTGTTGTTGTTATGTGCCGTCCAGTCGCTTGCAACTCATAGTGACCTCATGTACAACAGCCCTAAACTTCGCTCTGTCCTGTGCCAGTCGCACTGTCTCTGACACTCCCATCCCAATTATCCCAGTCACTGAACCAATCCACCTCATACAGGGCCTTCCTCTCCTGTGCTGTCCCTCCACCCTCCCAAGCATGATGTCCTTCTCTAAGGACCGGTCTCTCCTCACAACATGTCCAAAGTATGTTAGATGGAGCCTCAGAATCCTTGCCTCCAAGGATCCACCCAGTTTAACCCTTTCCAGGATGAATCTGTTTGTTTTCCTAGCAGTCCATGGTACCCTCAGTACTCTTCTCCAGCACCACAGCTCAAAGACATCAATTCTCCTTCTATCCTCCTTAATTATTGTCCAATTCTCTGATGCATAACACGTGATTGCAAAGACCATGGCCTGTATCAGATGGACCTTAGTCTCCAGAGAGACACCATTGCTCTTCAGTACTTTGGAGAGGTCCCTAACAGCAGACTTTCCCTTAGCCATGCACCTTTTAATTTCCTGGCTACTGGTGCCATGAGTGTTGACTGAGGAGCCAAGCAAACTAAAGCTATGAACACTCTCAGTCTCTTCACCATCCATCCTGATGCGACCAATTGGTCCAGTGGTGAGAATCTTTGTCTTCTTGACATTGAGCCTCAATCATATTGGAGGTTGCAGTCCTTGACCCTCTGCAGCAAGTGCTTCAGGTCCTCCTTAGTTTCAGTAAGAAAAAAAAAAGTTGAGGACGACTCCAAGCTTTAAGTATAAGCAAATGAGAGAGATGAAAAGAGAAGATTGCTTCTGTTGTCTGAAAATGAGGAAAGTAGCTCTATATTGTTTCAATAATGGTTTTGTTTTTCTCAATTAGCTATACAATATTTTTCCATCAATAATGAAATTCCTGCCGGGTCCTCATCAAACATTCTTTCGGGACTGGGAGAAACTGAAACTATTTGTTTCTCGTGTGATTGAAAACCACAAGAGAGATTGGAATCCTGATGAACCTAGAGACTTCATTGATGCTTACCTCAAGGAAATGGCAAAGGTGAGGAAGCCAAAGGGGTTTCCTTATGGTCTGTTCTTTCTGAGAAAATAGGGGGATATCTGCTTCCTATTATTTTCTATAATAAAGTGTTGTAAATTTAGTGGTCTTAAACAACAAGAATAATTTCTTTTCTAGATATAGAAGCCAGAAGTCTAAAAATCAGTTTTAAGAAGCAGAAACGCAGGCAGCAGAGTAGTGCTGACTCGTCTGGAGGCTCTGGAAAAACTATTGTTTTACCTTTTCCAGGTTTTTGAGACTACCTGCCTGCCTTCTCTCGTGCTCTACTTCCATCTACAAAGCCAGCAGCATAGCATCATCTCCTCTCTCTGACTATTGCTTTTTGGATATTCTCTTTGACTACTTTGCTCCTCTATTATATGCCTTTCATGATAGCATTAAATGGTCTAAATAATCTGGTATAATATCTTCCTCTCAAGATAAAATGCCTTTTGTGTGAACCAGAGCTCATTTCTATCCAGTAGATTTTTACAATAGCCACCCTTTCAGAAGAGAGTTGAACTGTCCCACAAGGATTCTTTATAGTATCTGAATGCCATGTCTTTCTCACTAAGAGCCAAAGGTGCCTTTGATTTGTCGGCCTTTTGGGTAGCAGCTAACTGCTGAATCACTATGCATCCTTTATTCCTTTCCTTTTATATACAAGTCAGCATACTCACAAGTTCCCGGATAGAATCTTCTCCTTAGAAGTAAAAATGGAAAGACTTTCCACATACATTGGTCATGTTATCGGGGGTAACAATTGCTGAAGAAAGCCAACATGTTTGATAAAGTAGAGGGTTAGTACAGAAAGGGAGAGACCCTAACTGAGAGGGATCAACATAACAACTGCAGCAATGGCTTCAGGGAATGCAGTGATTGTGTGGACAACACAGGATGGGACCATGTGCTATTTGCTGTATGTTGGGTTTCTCAGAACTAATTGAGTGACGTGTAACAACAACTAGGATTTAAGACATACACATAACTGAAAGTCATGATTTAGCCTACTACAGAGGGGTAAGAAGTAACATTAACTCAGGATCCATGAAATGAGTAGAAGTAAAGATAGATGTCTATTTAGGTGGTTGGTTCTGAGACTCTGAGAATGAATACCTAAACCTGCCTTCTCACCTTTCCATTTTTTCTACCCTCTACCACTATTGAAATGAACTATACACAAAAGGAATTGTAGAAATTGAACATAAAAGTCTATGTTTCAGTATTTGATAGGTCTGTGCCAGTTACTGAGAAACCCTGGTGGGACCATGGGTAGGCACTGAACTGCTAAACAAAAAAAAGGCAGTGCTATGGATTTACCAGCTCTCCCAGAGGAGAGAGACATAGCAGTCTGATTTAGAAAAGACTTTAGGTTTGGAAACCATATGGGGAAGGTCTGCCTTGTCCCATAGGGTCACTATGTGTTAGAAGAGGCTCAGTTGAACTGCGTTGTTAACCTCAGGGCCTTCCACTAGGCTTGAGTTGATTTCATCTCTTAGAAACCTTCCAGTGGTTTTGAGGTTATAAATTTTACAGGGAGGCAGACTCTCAGGCCTAAGTGGGTTTATTTCTTCCACTATTCACCCTCTTCTATTGCATTTACTTCCTAGCATTATAAGAGCGGGGCATGGAGAAAGCCAAATTGAATGTATGACTTTTGACATGGTCAGAAGTTACGACTTTTCCACCCGATAGACATCACTGAATCAGTGTCTTGACTTTTGACTCTTCAGATTGTTGATTCTTCCTTCTTCTGAAATAGGCAGATTGATGGATTTTTTTTTCTATCTCTTCCTTCTTCTTGTTGCATAACATTAAAAGAAGCATTATTTTCTCCTCCAAAGAAGAGAATGCACTTGCTATTTGCTATTTGGTGTTAAAAAATGGGAATGACTACACATTAAGAGGAATATTTACAAGCTGAATTATACAGAGAAAAGTGATAGCTATGAGAAAAAAGCATGTTATTACAGAGAAGAATCTACAAAGGAAAAGAAGAATGCGGAAAAATGTGTATTATAGCATGAAAGGGAATTAAATGGTGTTTTTTATAGCAGTTAAACATGTATGGATTACTTGTTGAGTTCTAGTTAAAAATCAGACCATTTATTATGTGGTCTTAAAAGATTGTTTTTTTAAAAAAAGATTGTTTTCATTTTGAAACAAAGGAAACCGAAGCACAAAGAGTTTAAGTAATTTGCATTACATCATACAACTAGTGAAGATATGACTGACACTGGAACTCAAGCCTGTGTTTTCTACTTCTCTTTCCACTATACTGATATTTTTTCCCCTCAAATCATAGGTATAATTAAAAGATTGTTCTGATTTTCTTCCTCTCAGTTGCTGGATACCCCAGTAGCTTTTTGCTTTTGGAACACAATGATGCTAATGATATTGTTGTACTACATTATGTCTCCTGAAGAAACTAAAAAGAAAAATAATTTCTCCCAGGGACCCTGCTATCCAGATTCTTTTCCTAGGTTGATGAGAACCTGTATTTTGTGATATGGGATCTCTAACTTAATCAATAAAGGATTTTTCTTACAGTATGCAGGCATTGATACTTCAAGTTTCCATGAAGAAAACCTTGTCTGCAGCACACTGGACCTCTTCTTTGCTGGAACAGAGACAACTTCTACGACACTGCGCTGGGCTCTGCTTTACATGGCCATGAACCCAGAGATCCAAGGTGGGCATGTGGTTGGATCTGCCTCTACCTACTTGCTTTCATAAAGTAAATTCCTATTGATGGCAACCTTCCACTGGATTTCTGAGGTTATAAATCTTTAAGGGAAGAGATTCTTTCTGTTTTCCAAAAAGTAACTGATAGATTCATACTACCAACTTTAGGTTAGCATATCAACACGTATCACACTGTAACACCAGGCCTGCTATGTTGGGTCCAGGCCAGACTTCTTGGAACATACTGTCCCAGCATTGAGCCTAAAAGACAGCATGGCAGAATGGAAAGAGAAGTGTACTACTCACACAAGAAGCTCAACAAGTAACAGGTTCTTCAATATTTCTGTCAGGGATTGTGATGGTTCTGATCATTCAAGATGTGCTGTTCCCTCTACTAAGACTACACCTCCTCAATTTCCTTACACAGCAAATCAAGAACTTGAAGAATCTCATGATATATGTCCTCCCTTATGATAAGTTCCTAGTCTTCAAGGAAATGACCAGTATTTTCTTTATTTAGAAGAAAGAGACCACGCCTTTCTATAAGAGCATGTTCAAAGAGGTAACACTTTTACACACACTCTTTTAAAAAAGCTTTGTCACTTGATCACACAGTTGCAAAGATGTCTGGGAAATATAATCTATAGCTGAGCAACAGTGTAAAATCTTCACTATAATGGGAGGAGGGGAAAGGTAACAGATATTGGGGAACATCTCAGTTTCTATCATTCATCCAATGCTCACATAAATCAGCTCACGCAACTCTCAAAATATCCTTAAGATGAATATATGTTTTCCTCACTAATTAGATAAGAAAACTAATGATCAGAGTTTCATTCACTTGCAACATTCATGTTGTACAACAGGAATTTGATCCACAGTTGTCATACACGAAGACTCAACTTTCCACTCTTATGTATTTCTTTGAGGAACTAAATGCTGTAGTTGTTTTGTGCCAATGAGTTGGAACTGATTCATAGCTGACCTCCAGCTAGTTTGGAGGCTGTACTTTGCACAGGAGGAGATTGTACTTTGTCCCACAGAGCAGCTGGTAGGTTCAAACTGTGTACCTTAGTGTCTGCAGCACAGCTTCTTACCATGGATGCTATAGAGCTTAGGTTAATATTAATGTCACAAAACTTGCCAATGTTTCCATCTATTCTATATAAAGTCCTCATTACTCATCTATAATTAACAACAATAATAATAGTATAGTCTTAGCCTTTTTGATTCTTGTTATTCCATTCCTTAGCTTAACTGGGCCTAAAGAAATTTATGGGGTTGTAAATTTTCTAAATAAGCCTTTTGGAAAATTAATACTTATTGTACTTGTTTGTACACTGACCACTAATTCAAATGCACAGTAAGAGGCCCTGGAGAGCACCTATAGATCTTTGGAAGAAAGTGTAAAAGAGTGAAAAATAATAAACCTTTTTCTTTCCAGAGAAAGTACAAGCTGAAATTGACAGAGTAATTGGCCAATCGCAGCTGCCCAGCACGGCCAACCGAGACCACATGCCCTACACTAATGCTGTCATTCACGAGGTGCAAAGGATGGGCAACATCATCCCCCTGAATGTACCCAGGGAAGTGACATTTGACACCACTGTTGCTGGATACTGCCTGCCAAAGGTAACTCAGTCTCAGCTTTTCAAGATCATCTTTTTAGGCAGTAGGAACTTAAACTTGACAATTACATGTATTCATATCCTAAGAAAGCGCTCAAATAAGGAGAAACATATATTATACCTTATTTAATATTAAGTTTTTCCCTCCAAGCATGGTTTTAGAACTTTACTGCAACTAAAGTTGATCAATATTGGTCAGGGAAGGGAGGAGAGGAGGGGAGAGGAGAATTCTATGGCCGAAAAAAGGAAGCACTGGTTGCTTAGTAATAAGGAATTGTGCTGTTACCACAAAGGCATATAGTTTGATTCCATCTGGTGCATTGTGGAAGAAAGATAGGCAGTCTCCTTCTACATGATTTACTGTTTCTGAAAACCTTTTGGAGGCTCAGCTAGGGGTTAGTTCTGACTGAACAGTATACAACAACAACAACAGCATGGTCAAATAAGTTTTGGTAAAGACATACTTTCCTTTGCTCTAGTACTTCTCAGGTCTTTTACTGTATGAATTAGCATTGGGAGAGAGTGGAGGTTAGTGACAGAGCTCAATTTCCATGTGGGTGACCCAGATTCAAATTCTGGTCAGTGCATTTCAGGTCAGCTGCTACCTACCTGTATGTTAGTGGATGTTTAAGCGCTTTTATCAGAACCAATTTGACAGTGCCTAACAGCAACATGACACTGAACAGGCTTCGGTGCAGCTTCCAGATTAGGACAGAGACAGCCTGGTGGTCTGCTTCTAAATGGATCACAGCACTCTGATCTTTTTGGGTGTGGGGACCACCACGAGGTGAAAATGTTCCTTGTAGCCAACAACGGCTACATGTGTGCATGGGAAAATCTTTACTGGGATACAGCAGAGAGAAGTTCTCAGCCATGTTTAGCAATAGAAGCTTTAGAATATCTCGCTGGTAGAATGTCTCACAAGACCAGGACTTACTACATATAGTCCAGGGTTTATGGAATAGTGAAATGTGAAGGAACATTCCAGTATCCTTGAATCAACATCACCTTACTGCTGGTATTTAAGAAATAATATTCCACAACTTTCAGATAACAGCCAGAAATAAGGAACTTACTTTTACAAAATTTACTTTTACCCATGTGTTTGTCACACCCTTATGGAGAGCGAGTAAGGAAAAGGAATGTATCAGTCAATGAGAGTGTGTTGTGCTCAGTTGAGTTTGTTTCAAAATTATTCCTTTTTATACCCATCTTTTTTTTTT